ACTTTCTGATACAAACGGAATTCTCTTGCATAAACATTCTGTGGAGTTTATGTCTCACATTAAAAAACAGCAGCACAGACTGTGGTAAATTGAATAAATTAAAGAAAGTGTAGAAAAGAATAATAAATAGGATTAAGAGAACAGAGGAATTGACTCTTGCTGATTACAGTGGTCTCTCAAGAAAGTGATATATCTACCTTGTACTATGGGTTGGGGTGAATTATAAAAATAATAAGCTGTTCAATTTGGCAAAACTTCTAGGTTATAAAACATAAAAAAAAAGGAGGAAGAGAGGAAAGAATTTTAAAAGAACTAAATGTCCACTACGTATTTTGGAGATCTCCATAAGGCAACTGTGATTCAAATGTTTTGATAAAACAATATATAATGATGTCCTTATTTTTACACAACTATTTTCTAGTTATCTTCTAGTTGGTACAAGCAAAAGATCTTAAAAATAAACTGAACTGAATGATATTTGAGGGGAGAAAACCAGATTATAATATAACTTTAGATTACCCACTCAGTCTTTCTTTGCTTTTCTTCCGAATTTCTAGATCTTAAAATGAAAACATAAATAAAGTCGGCCTGAATTTTTGTTTCTTAGTGTTTTATGAGTGAATTTCACTTTTGAATATGAATAACCCCTTCCCTTCAAATCTCGGGAAAAAATATACCTGTATCAATTATTTTTTCTCCATCATAAGTTGATAAGAACATTTCAAATACTTCTAAAATATTGAAGCACAATTCAAAGATTCAGTCAATATATTGGTACCTTCATTACAATGGTTCATTTTGCATTAATAATTTTATGTCTGTAATGTATATCTTTTGATCATGTTATTTTCTTAAACAAAATAGTTGCCCCCAAATTTCGTTTGTATTATTTTCACAGAGCAAATAAAGACAACATAAACATGTTTATATTTGATTTAAAACTAAAGAGTGTTTTTAATTGATCTTCTAATAAAATATATTTTTAATCTGGGAAGATCCCATTTATCTCTTTTTGAAAACAACAACAATAGCGCAAAGATTTTAAACTTTTCTCAATTAAAAGCAAAATGAAAATGTCCTCAATGGATTATAGAAAATATTTTGTTCATTTATTTGTTTGTTTCTTTTGGCTTTCCATTGTCTCCAAAATGTTGAATACTAAAAAGTAAAAAAGAAAAAAAGTAGAAAGAATATTGATTCAACAAAATGCACTACCTAAATGTAGCAGTCATGCCTCATCCTTTATTTTTTTCAATCTTTTTTCTTTTTCTATGTTGCTGAGAAGGCATGGGGAAAGGGCACAAATATGATTGACTTTTTTTTTTTATGTTACATCTCTCAGACGGCAAATATTAATTAAGAAAGTTGATTTATTTTCTTTATATATAATTTTTTTTCCCAAACAGAAGCTGGTATAATAGAGTATAAGCATTCAGAAATGTGTTAATGAGTGAATGAATGATGAGTATTATGACTACTAAAATAAGAAACGCATCTATTGGAAGAAACATGTCAGCATACAGGACTCTTTATGGAATCAATATGCAATGGAATCTTGACTTGATAAGTGATTTGCTTTCGGTAGACTTTGCTTATAGAAAAATATGTACAAATTTGGAAAAACCAAGTCATACAAAATAAAAAAATCTTACCTTAATATATATGAAATGTATTATCAGAGATAAAACACTAATTTTTGTGAATTTAAGCCATTTTGCAGATGATTAATCCTTAAACAATTTACTCATATTGGACTAAGATAATATTCCTTCAAATAACAACTAAGAATCCATGTAAAATAAAATGTTTTAAGCCTCAAAAATAGAACAGAAGTGAAAGTCACGGAGCACCTTTGTTTATAATCATCTTTGTTCCATGTGATTAATTCAATACTAAAGTTTTGGAAATAATTAAGAATCCTGCCATATTTAACTAAAAACAGAATTTTAAATCTCTACTTTTTCTACATTTCAAATAGATAAGCATTAAAGATGCTACTCCAATGTGCACAAGTATTATTATCAAACAGTAGCTTTTAATTGTGTAATTGCATACTGGGGTATCTTCAGTTCTGTAGAGAACTATTATTTCTTTAATCACAATTAACCTAGTGAGTTAAAGACAAGTCATTCTTGTAAAAAGAGGTTATTTCTCTACTAAATAATGCCCCAACTGAATATTTCAAAAAGTAGTAAATAAATTTTCTTTCTGTCAAAACCATGAATTTCCAAGGCTTTGAATAAGTCAAACTAAACCTGTTTTTCAAGAATAGTAAATTATACCTTGAATAATAAATGGTAGGATTTATTATTATATTTGTGGTTTGTATTTTATTTTTATGATTGCCTTCAGTTTATTTTATAACTGTTACATTCCTACTTGTATTTACCTGTCTTTATTGCAGTTATTACTACATAACTTCATATTACATATTAATTTATTAATATTGCTATTTTATATCCCCATTTTTATGCAATAGAATAGAAGCTCCATGGCAACAGGGACTTCACTTTGTTCACTGATAAATCTCCAGTTATAATCTGTAACTATTTATTTTTTAACTAATAAATCCCCAGCTTTAAGATACAAATGCAAAAACTCAAAGAGTTTGATACAGTGGCCCAAGACTTCCTAGCTAGTCTTTGGTGGTCTGGGAAATGAGCCTAGGTTCTCTGAAATAAAAAGAAGCTCAACCTTTCCCCTTAAAACCAAATTTTTATTACATTGATTTAAGAAAATGTGTTAGCAGTTATTATTTCATAGATATGCTTCCTGAGAGGCCTTCCAATTCTCCTCCTAGAAACATATACACACACACACACACACACACACATATATATATAAACATATATATACACACACACACTTTATATACTATACAAATAAATTCTATATATGTGATATATATCCTAGCTACATTTCTAACGTAGGTTTTGTAACCTTAATTCTGGGAACTATAGATTGATTACACAGCACATTTCAGGTGTTACATAAATATTTCATAAAATTGAGGCTCTTCCACATCAAGCCAGTAACTACTTCAGTAAAGCTCTACTATAATTGAATTTTCATATTTTATTCAGAAGGTAAGAGATGGGTTTGAGCAACTCTGAGAAATAAGTTGTCAGTTCCGATTCATACAGAAATACTGTAACTCTGTGTTTCTAAACTCGAGTCTATACATTTCAAAATGTCTCTTTTATAGATTCTTAAGGATTTAAATTTTAGAGCCACAAATTCCTCTTATTTGAGTTTCATGGTGAACTGGGAGTAGAAAGAAGTTATAAAATGCAAACATTTCATAGTTTCTTCTTTAGACAATTATTTACCAATTATTTGTCCATTGTGGTTAGGTGTCCCTACTGTTATTCTCACAGTTGTTTCTCCTATGCCTTAATTAAAAAAATAATAATAATTTAAAAAACCACAAGGCTTACAAAGAGGTGAATTCTAAGATCAACTGAAAATATGTCAGAGCATAGATATTCAAGGGGATCTGTAGTGGATGCAGATCCTCACTGGAATTTGTGGAATACAAAAAGGAATAGGTTTTATTACTTATGGGGACTGGTCAATTTTATAAGCTTAAAATCTAAAAAGTAGTTTAAAAAAATTTCAATATAGCCATTTCCACTGATTCAGTGAGGTGAGGAGTAATCATCATTACTATAGCAGCTAAGATTTACTACAATCATTCCATTTTCCAAGTACTGTGGTCTTAGCTATCAAAGTACACTCATCTTTGTAAAACCTGCTCCATTGTAAAATGGATATGTCAGGTCATTATTTTTCCTTTCATCAAGTGTCCTCATTTGTACTAATTATATACTTACCAAGGAAACTTTATCTTATTGCCTAAAATATTGGTCTACCAAAAAATAAAAATAAAAATGATGATCACATGATATTCTAGTTTTCCACTTCATCAGATAGGGATATCTCGAGGGAAATATAGAAATGGCTTTGATGATAATATAACTTGTCACCTAAAAATGTCACAGAGAATTAATGTGTTTATTGGTCTCGTCACTAGAACAACAAATTCTTCTATTTAATTAACTATTTGGCACCCTGATGGCTACCTGAGTTATGTGTGTATTTTCATCACTCACCCCAGACACGGATGGGGGAGTGCTGGGACTTCAGAGTGCTGACTCAGGTCTTAACGGTTCTTATCACTACCACTTCCATCTACTAATGTAGGTTTCAAAAAGGGATCAGAAATATTTCTGCTTAAGAAAACTCTAAATTTACATTTACATAGGTTTTAAAAAAATCTACAAAAAGAAATCAGACAAGGAAGGGATAATTTCTTAAACAACTAACTAGTGTTGAAAAAATGGAATATCCATATGTAAAAAAATAAGGTTGGGCCCTTACCTTACACCATATGCAAAAATTAACTCAAAATGGATTAAACATCTAAATATAAGACCTCCAAACCATAAAATGCCTAGAATAAAACATATGAGAGGAGTTTTGTAACACTGGATTTGACAATGATTTATTGAATATGACGCCAATAGCACAGGCAACAAAAGCAAAAATAGACAGATGGACTACCTCTGATTTTAAAACTTTTTGCCCAATTAGTGATACAATCATCAGGGTGAAAAGACACCCTATGGAATGTGAGAAAATATTTGCAAATCTTACATCTGATAAGGGATTAGTATCATAATATCTAAAAAACTCCTACAACTAAACAGCTAAAATAAATCAAGTAACCCAATTAAAAAAATTAAAATTAAAATAAATCAAGTAACCCAAAAGGAGGGAGGATGGGAGGGGCATGAGGGCTGACAAATTAGCTATTGGCTACAGTGCTCACTATTTGGGTGGTTGGCACACTAGAAGCCTAAACCTCACCATTATGCAATATATCCATGTAACACACTTGCACATGTATCCCCTGAATCTAAAATAAAATTTAAAAAATAAAAAAAGTTAAAAACCATGGTCATATAAAAATAAATATATAAGGAAACAAAATCAATTACTCTGTTAGATCTTCTATCTTTTTTTCCACTAGAGTAGGAGGCACATTGGAAACAATGACTTGCATATCCAGCTGATTGACCACAGAGACCTGAAAGAAGAAAAAACAGAATTCATTTAATTTTTACTCACTGAAATTTCCATAATCAGAAAACTCCCACATTACCTCTTCCCTACTATGCATAGACACAGTGGTTTCTCGTTTTCAAAATCAGGAACAATTTTTTTTTTTTTTTTTTTTAAATTATACGATCTACACAAGGGGTTGGAGACTAACTGGGGCAGACTGAGCATGAGAAACTATTTGTTGTTTACCTAGAAATTAAGAATCCTGAGTGATTTCAATTGTTTTTGGTTTTGTGTTTGTTTTATTGGTTATTTACTGAGACATGAAGGGTGGCATTTTTTTAAAAATTTGATTGTTAAGGGACACCCAAGATAATGAAAAGTATGTTTTATATTTTACAAGTCTTGAGAGATCATTTATTCATTGTAACTAAGAATCTGAGATATGACTGGTTAGAATAATTCATTCTATGAGGTCATCACATATAGTTTTCTTATCTATTTAACCAACTTTAAATTTGTGTAGGTAGAGATATATATTTAGGACTTTACCTATGGGTTAAAAAGCTAATTTAACAGCTATTGATAATTATGTCTCATTCATTTAAAATCTACTGAATTTCTTCTATGATCTTACATTTGAAAAATAGAAGAAAAATAAAAATATTTATTCTGTGCTTACAACATGGCATTTATTCTTTTCCTCAATATTTTACAGGTTTAACTCATTGAAATATATAGAAAGAATCAGGTTGTTATTAAGATCATTTCAATTTTAAAATAAAAAACATGAATGGAAGATATATTTAATAACTTAATCCTAATTAAATGCAGTCTGTCTTACACCAGAGTTTGTGCTCTTTACTATTTTTCAATACTGACATAAAAATTCTAAAAGGCCATATGTTATCATGCACATACATTTACACACTATTAAAATATAAAGGCATTTGTACCAGAATCATAAATTGAACACTCTGGGTTAGGCATATTTAGCACCGCATCTCAATACAATCTACAGTAGGGAGTAATTTCACGTTGCCATACATTTTTTCATGGCCTCCAGGTTCTTTACATATAGAGACCCCTATTAGGGGTCACAAATTCAGATGCCTTCAGGAACTAGGCAGGTAACTTAAAAGAGAAAAGTAGCCAGAAGTATGAAATGATAGAAAGAAATGGAAGTAACACAAATCCGAGAGCACATAACTCAGCTGAAGAGGTCAGCTACTACTCACCTCTAAGGAATATTGCAATGTGGGGAAAAAAAAAATTCAGATTTCCTAGATCTTTCAGTTTTTCAGGAAAAAAAGAAATCCAAAATATTATGTAAAATGTTTGCTACTAGTTAGAAATCTATCAAACCATTGTGTGAGCCTAATCAATCATGTCTGAAGACTCTATAAGGAGTAGGTCTGATTACTACTTCTGAGCAAGCAGTTTATGCTGGCAGTTTTAACTTTGTGCCCCTAACCTGTTATAGGAGTCCGGGACCAAATGACTAAATTTCCCTTCAACGTGTAAATGAGTCTTGATTGTCTTTTTACAAAACACATCTAACTTCACTAGCAAAAGGGATCATTACAGTTTTTATATCACTTTGGCTTTTCTTATTGGTATTGAGTAAAAAAGGATATAGAAGTTGCATAGAAATATTTTTTGTTTTATTATTTTTGAGTTTTTAGCAGTAAAATTACATGATAAAAATTTCTAGAAGTATGTATATGAAACTTGTATAACTGTTCCCTCCTTCCCTCCTTTCCTTCTTTCTTCCTTCCTTCTCCTTCTTTTTTCCTTCTTTTAACATTGGACCAGAAAAGGTTAAAAGTTTTGATAAAAAGCAAACCACCTGGAAGAGGTAGTAACTATAGAGTGTTATCCCAATGAGAATTATAATCACTAGGCCTCATTCTCTGTTCCCTGAAGCCCCCATCATCTCCTCTAACTGCTGGACTCAGAAGTACTGGAGTCCTGGCCTCAGGACGGAGGAGCTTTTGTAGTGGGACTAGTGCTGAAGCACTTCCTAATTCCACCATCTGTTGGGAGAAGGCCCCTGGACCATGATGTGGGTCGTGGATACAGTGAGTAGTAGGGAGCATTAGCAGGATAATGGAAAAGAGAAGAAAATGAGTAGGAGAAATAACTCCTTATTATTGAGTCTTTCAGTGGAAAATTGTTAGGACTGTCTGACCCGTCAAACTGTTCTCTTCTCACACATCTGTCTCCTGGTCTGGTAAGAATGTGCTTCAACCTACCTTTTCTGGATGACAGACTATTAGAAATCCCTACTATTAGTATTCCTCTAATTCTCCAATGTCTCTTATTTCCCTACATTCATCCTGCCCAGGCCTTCAAAAATAGACGCTTCAGTAAACTGTCTTCAAATTATCTGATTCTTGCAATGTAGACCTAAATTTTTTAAAAAAATCTGTTTCCAATGTGCATGAATTTTCTGCAAGGTTCTTATGGATATAGATCCAAAAAACTATACAAGCTGGTGTCAGGCTGTATATACCAGAAATCTGTCACACTTTACAAATATTATATAAGATGTGAACAAAAACAAAGGTGGGAAAGGAACTAAGTAGTAACTAGTGGAGGATAGATTCAGCAGCCACAGAGAAAGACCAAACATAAGCTTTTCTATCTTAGGGTAGAAACAGGATTTAATCAAGGAAATCTCCTGCCCCCAGGATGGGGATCTACATTATATATACCCAACAGGATTTCAGAATTGGCCTGGACAATTCTGTATGTCTACCATTATTGTCCTCTTCAAATAGGAATTTCTGTTGGATATTCTGTATTTTTCCACCATCTATACTGGGTGAATTTATTTTCTGGATCACTAAAATACCAGGAGTTCCCTCTAGACCTGATAAAAAGAACAGCATGACAGCTAAGATTCAGGTGTTAACTTTGATAAGACTTTGTTCTATTTGTGTGGAAAATAATGAAATATTTGATAATCATAAGTATAGACTGGTTAGCTGTTCACCAGCTCTGTCTATCCTCCTATTGGGAACACACAATAGATTTCTCAGCCTTCTTTGTAGTTTAATGGAGCCATATGATGGAGATCTGACCAATGTAAACTTAGTGGAAGGGAAAGAATGAATGTTGTTAAATCTGAAGGAAAGTCAGTGCTTTCCCTTCATCAGAAAGATAAGTTACTTATTCAAAATATTTTAAGCCGGATGTGGCGCCTCACACCTGTAATCCCAGCTCTTTGGGTGGCTGAGGCAGGCTGATCAATTGAGGCCAAGAGTTTGAGACCAGCCGGGCCAACATGGTAAAACCCTGTCTCTACTAAAAATACAAAAAATAGCCAGGCATGGTTGTGCATGACTGTAATTCCAGCTACTCTGGAGGCTGAGGCATGAGAATCACTTGAACCCGGGAGGCGGAGGTTGCAGTGAGCCCAGATGCCGCTGCACTCCAGCCTGGGTGACAGACCCTGTCTCAAAAAAAAAGAAAAAGAAAAGAAAAAAAAGTGAGATTTTGAGCAAAATTCTGACTGAAAGAGCGGGAGTTAACACTTAAGGTGTCTGGAATATATCAATTTTAAAGTTATACTTTATTATGATGTTAATATATTTTGAAAATAGACTTTTGTATTTTCTTTTAAAGATACAAAAAGAAAAAATATTTAATTCTGATAAATTAACAAAGGTCGCACTGTCGCACTGTATTTAACTCCAAGAGTAGTTGTCTCACACTTACCTCTAACTAATTACTTTAAAATTTTTTAATCTCCTCAATGTGCTAATGTCTGATTTATGTAGAACACACACATTTTGACTACACAAATGCAGAAAATAAGATATTACAATTTACATTTTGGTCTTCCACAGAAATTGTACAACTTAATTCTGGTTTGTTTTATCATCTATAACAAGGATATTTAGCTCTTTAAGATTAGTAGATTTTATTTATGCTACTTTTCCAGTATACCTTCTGCAAATATGCAAATATTTCCAGAACTTTGCATGTCAGTTTATTACACCAAATATTTAGTAATTTTTTGTAAAATTATTTAATTCCGTAGGTTAACAACTAATGAAGGCTTTATAAATATGTTTCCATCATCATTGAGATTTATGCTTGTAATGGATTAAAATTACTAGGTATTGTTAAAAAGAAGAGAAATAACATTTGTGAAGCACAAAATTAAAAAAAAAATGGCTGGAAATTTACATGTTATGATGTCTATGTCCTTTCCATTTATTCTCATAAGTTTCTTATACATTTTAAATAGTGCTGTCCAATAGAAATATAATGTGAGCCACGAATACAAATCACATATGTAATTTTAAATTTTCTGGCACCCACATTAGAACGATAGAAATAATAAGATTAATTCAATAACACATTTAACCCAATATGTTTAATATATGTTTAGTAAAATATAATTTTAACATGTAAAGAACATTCTACATATTATTATTGAAGTCTTTGAAATCTGGTGTATATTTTATACTTATAGCACATCTCTGTGTGACCTAGCCATGTTTCAAGTATTCAATAGCTACATTTGGCTGATAGGTAGCATATTGGACAACCCAACTTTAGAGATATTCATCACCTCCTGCTTGAACTGTCTTTCCTAACTGGTCTCTGTTGCAAACTCACTTTTTATGAAATAAAAGAGGTGTTTTAATAGTCCACTTAGATAATTATGTATTTTCTTTTTAAAATACTACACCAAAATTCAAGGTTAGTCTCCACATGAAATCTAAAACCATGTTCAGTTACACTAAAATCTATTTGTCTGTCTTGTACTTGTTTTTTGTTGTGTGTGTGTGTGTGTGTGTGTGTGTGTGTGTGTGTGTGTGAGATGGAGTTTTGCTCTTGTTGCCCAGGCCAGAATGCAAGGGCGTGATCTCAGTTCACAGAAACCTCCGCCTCCTGGGTTTAAGCGATTCTTCTGCCTCAGCCTCCCGAGTATCTGGGATTACAGGCGTCCATCACCACACCCGACTAATTTTTGTATTTTCAGTAGAGATGAGGTTTCATCATGTTGGCCAGGTTGGTCTTGAACTCCTAACTTCAGGTGATCCCCCTGCCTGAGCCTCCCAAGTTGCTGGGATTACAGGCTGAGCCAACACACCCAGCCATTGTACTTTGAATAGATCTTTTACACATGTATAACTTTTTAACATCTTGCATTGGCCACTTAGAAAATACAAGTTTACTGAACACTGCAGATTTTGCAAATATCAACACATTTCATTACACAATATCAATAAATAAATCACATTATTTAATAAAACCACTGACTCATCAAGAAAGTCTAAATATTCAGAAGCTAGTAAAGTTTACAGTGACAGGTACAATTTTTTTAATATTCTAATTTGTCCTTGAAAGCTTCAGTATTATCATTACTTGTTTACATTGAAATGACAGGCTCCCTTCATCCATTTTGTGTAAATGCCTACCAAATACTTAAGTGTGAATAACCATAGTTTGTCTCTAAGTTGCCCTTTCATATGACAGTGTTAGTCCATTTAAAAAGCAGCTAGTTCAGCTTGCATAGTGCTTTTCCCTGAGGCAACCATCTTCCACATACAGCAGGTATACTTTTTGCCTACTTCTCATTTCATCAACAAATATTGAAAAGGTGTTTAGGACACTTTCATTGATAGGTTAGCCAGCTGCCTAGATAGATATACAGTATTTACTAAGGGAATGAATGTGAGGTTTAGAAGACAAAGGAGTCAAGAAATTTTTTGCCTAAGGAACTCAAAGTGATTTGGTCATCAAATAAAATAAGGAAGACTATAGGTGGAAGAAATATGATGAAAAAGAGAAATCCATTAGGAAACACTAAATAAACACCTTTTTAAAAATATTCAAGTGGAATGGCTACATGTACAAATAAATATGCGAGTCTGGTGTTCAGGAATGAGCTTTAGGGTAAAGATGTAAGTTTGAGAGCTTTCACTATGTAGATGATATTTTTAAGTTATGGGACTAAGTGAGCTTAACAAGTGAGTGAATGAAAAGAGATGTAATGTCTGAGTCCTGAGAAACCTCAATACTAAAAGGTCAGGAGAAGAAAATGAACCAATAAAGGAGACTGAGAAGGAATAAACAAGGGAGTATGGTGGGTGGTCTGAAACCTTAGTGAGGGTAATAGTCAAGCATTGCTGACGGTTCAAGTAAGATAAGGACTGACCTATCAGTACATTTCCTAACATGAAAGTCATTGGTGGCATCGACAAGAATAGTTTGGAAGAGTGATTGGAGAGAAAACACTCCTATGATTAGAGGGTTTAAGAGAGATTCAGTAGTGAGAAATAAGTCAATTCTAACACAGAATTTTGCTAGAAAGAAGAATAGAGAAATGGATGACAGCTAGAAGGTGATATAGATGAAGAGATATTTTAGAATTTTTGGAAGATAGGAAAAAAGCATTGTTGTGAGAATAATCTGATATGAGGAGGAAATTTATATTAATAATGTAGAAAAGAAATGGGAGAGCTGCTGAGGCAATGTCCAAGAGCTGGTAAGTGGGAATTGAATCTACTGTATAAGTAGATGTACAGGCTTTAGATAAAAACAGAGAGAATTCATCTAAAGGAGCTAGAAAGAAGGCAAAGAATATTGGTCTAGATCCTGGAGGGTAGGTAGATTTAGTGGTAGGAGTCATAGAAGTGTCCTTCTAAATGCTTTAGTATTAGTTTTCTGTGAAATAGCATGCCAGTTAATCAGGCCATAGTGAGAATGAGGACAAGGTATTGGAGAATTAGGAGCAGAGAAGATTTTCTGTGACATCGAGGCAAAATATAGAGTGATTACTGAACAAAGCAAAAGCTCATTTGGAGGGTTTTAGTCATTAATTTAAATGGATACTGATGCAGGAGAATAGGGTCTGGAGGCAGGGAACCGAAGGCCAATTTGTGCTGACTTCCTAAAGCTGAATCAAAAGGGAAAACACCAAGGTCTGGGGCCAGGGAATCAAGGCCAATTCATGATAGTTTTCTAATGGTGGATTAAACAGGAAACTCCTGGGTCTGGGGGCAGGGAACCTAAACCAATTAATGCCAACTTCCTAAAGCTAAACCAAAAGAAAGAAAGAAAAAAAAACATCTCTCCACACTCCACCTGAGTAACAAAGGATCAAAGCCTACTCTCCCTAAAGCCCTCCCCCTTTCTCAGGCCATTCCTCATTCATTTTTCCTCACATACTCTTCCGGACTGAGTACACATTTGTAATTTATTCAGACTTGTCATCATCTCTCTTCCTTCTTGGTTTTGGCACTCATACTCTCTAGATAAACCTCTTATTTATCTCATCTCCTTTCTCTTGACTGGTAGGATTACAAAGCTTATCATAAATATCATTTGGCTGGGATGGCGTACTAGATGTTATTAGTTTGCATCAGAATATGATATCTATATATAACAAATTATGGTTTCTTTGAATTAAATTTCTTTGTAAATATATTTTGAATGATATTAAAAGGCATATTCTTAAATTTCCACACAATAGGTATGGAATTCAAACATTAAAAATAAACTTTATATCTCATATGTACACTAATATGTACAAAATATATACATATATATAATTAGATTGATATATATTTAAAGATTATATATTAAAAGTATATATTTTGCAAAGATTATATATATTTTGTTTGTGTTGATTTTTATAGTATTTTAATTACACTTAGTGTAGTGACTTTATAGTTTAGTTTTTATTTTATTTTTTATTTTTTGAGACAGAGTCTTGCTCTGTTGCCCAGGCTGGAGTGCAGTGGCTTGATCTCGGCTTACTGCAACCTCTGCCTACTGGGTTCAAGCGATTCTCCTGCTTCAGCCTCCCAGTAGCTGGGATTACAGGTGCACACCACCACGCCCAGCTAATTTTTGTATTTTTAGTAGAGACAGAATTTTACCATCTTTGCCAGGCTGGTCTCAAACTCCTGACCTCAAGTGATCCACCTGCCTCGACCTCCCAAGATGCTGGGATTACAGGTGTGAGCCATCATACTTGGCCTATGTTTAGCTTTTAAGAACCAAAATGTGCATATCTTAAATAATAGAACAATAGAATAGGACATTATGTTACATGAAATAAGCCAAAAACAGAAAATTTAAAACCACATGTTCTTATTCATGTATGGAGTCTAACAAAAGATGATCTCATAAAAATAAAGTGTATAAGGTTCTATAAGTTTTACCGATCTTAATTTGATCATAAATTTATGTCAAACTTAATATCTCCTATGTCAAAACTTCTTGGCTTAGAGTGGCCTTCATTTACTCTATTGCAGCTTTACTGTTAAAAAAGAGAATGCTCCTGGAGGACTGTTTGGGCCACAATCATGGTGATTGTTCTTCACCATTATCTAAGAAGAAAAATATTTGATCATTGATGTCTGCATGTACATGAAGGTTATGCTTGTCCAGGGAACTAAATGAGGCGAACTGTGAAAAAAGGAAAATGTACAATGCAAAGAACAAAAGACAACTTATTCTTGATCTGTCTTTATGTGACAAATATTTCCAATAAATATACTTTGTATTAGGTTCATCAGACAAAAGTCCAAATAACCTATGCTTTCAAGTTGGTAAAGAGTCCACAGGATATATGAACTGCTATTAAATATTTTCAATAAAAGCTAATATCGAACTTCCCTTTCAAATGATCTATCACTGAACTTTGCACAGCCTAAGTGAAAATTAGAACAATGATATTATTGACTATAGCCAAATATAACTTAGTCAAGGTTAATCAATGTTATCATTGGGGATTTTGATAGAACAAAGAAATAAATACTACTGGAACAAAATTTGCCCCCAAACATTTTCTTTGTATTCTCAATTACAAAATGCTGAAAGTAATTTAAACAAATAACTTCATAGTTTAATTTCCATAGTATAACTCTGTGAAGTATTTAAAATTTTTATGTAGCACTGGACAACACCATATTAAAAATGAGCTTTGAAGACCAAATAGAAATCCAATGCTTATACCTTTGTTGTTACAATCATAATTTTTCAAATATTATAATGTTTTTCTCAAAGGTCAAGAAAAATAAACATCTTATGGTGTTATATATATGAACCATATATTTACATATTCCTAAACTATAGTGACTAACAATCTGGGTGAATATTAATAATAACTATGTTTTTGAAAACCCGTTCTAAATTAATCTTAGAAGTTCTATAAGCTGAAAACACTGACCCATGGCTAGTATTGCAGCTACTTCCCTTTCCTGAAGTTTTATCTACTTACAAGTACATCGGCTTTGCCACTCAGTCCCTTCCCATAGTCGTCAGTTGCAATAACTTGAAACTTGAAGTAGGATCTCCTCATATTGTGGAAGAGCATAGCAGTTTTGATAAGCCCTGTATATGTTTCCACTACAAATCCTTCTTTTCCCTCTTTAATTGGTGGTATTATGAGTCTGTAGGCCATGACACTATAATTGCCCGTATCTTTATCAGCAGCCTAGGAGGAGAAAAAAAAGAGATTATAATTAAGCAGGAAAAGATAACCTTTATGAAACGGCTTATTTTTGTTTGTAAGAATGAGGTTTCTTATGTAATAATAACACAATAAAGCCCTCCTAAATGTCTATTTTTTCTGGATATAGTTATGTAGATTCATAGACTTTGTGTTCACAGTTTCGAATGGTTGTTATTAGAATGATAACAATTACTGACTTATGAATAAAAAGGACATAGGTATAATTTTGTACCCTTTAACAAATTTCTCCCTACCCCTCCTTTCCTTTTACCCTTCCCAGCCTCCAGTATCTTGTATTCTACACTTTATTTTTATGAGATCATCTTTTTTTTAGATTCTACATATGAATAAGAACACGTGGTGTTTAACTTTCTGTTCTTGACTTATTTCATGTAACATAATGTCCTAGATAGGGGGAATACATTCTAGTGCCCTATACCACTGTAGAATAACTATAGTTAACAATGGTAAATAGTTCCAAATAGCTATAAGGATAGTGAATTTTCCCAACACACAGAAGTGATAACTGTTTGAGGTGATAGATAGGCTAATTAATCTGATTTGATTGCAATGCATTACACATAAAGAAACATCTATGATGCCAGTAGGTAAGTACTATTCTTATTTGTCAATTTTAAAAGTAGATTTTAAAAAAACAGACATAGATACTAACAGAGTCAATGAATCAAGATTTTTGGTTTACGTGTTTGTTGAGTTCAACTCTGTGTGTTGATCCAAATTGGTTGGAGGATGGGATTGGTTGTTTACCTAATGTTTGTCTTGCTGTAATAGGCATACAATGTGATGGTATTTTTGATGTAGCATATAGCCTAAGGGGGATAAATACAAAAGAATGTAGTAAAATATCTGAAATGAAATAAAATAAAGTACCATCTGACTTCCTTTTTAATCATCTTGTATCCTGATTAAGCATATTTGTTCCTGGTGATAGGTACTTACGATCCACATAGTAAAGTTTTCTACCATTTAGAATTAAAAAGGACTGACACATTGTTTAGACGTTTTTCATTTGTTTTTAAATACAGTTATGAGAATCATAAATTGGGCCAGCTTTATGGTGTCTAATTAGGGGAAATTTTTTAGAATGTCTATTTCAGAATTATTTCATAGTGAAATACTTGGAAAATAAATGGTAGATAAGAGAGTTTTACAGACTTGATAAAAGATGATATATACTTTATTCATGATACTAGATATGTAAGTTATACATTTTCATTTATTATAACAATAATTACTATTTTTATTATCTGTTTATTCTTATTTTTATCTATGCTATTATTATTAAGTATGAGTATGCATTTATGATCTGCCATTACTAAGAATTGCTAAGAATCATACAAAATACAAAATACAATCATACAAAAATAGTCTTATCTAATAACAATTAAAAAACTGAGGAATATATTGTTTTACTTATATAAATTAGTGCTATCCAATAAAACTTTCTGAAGTGATAGAAATGTTCTTAATCAGCTCTGTCTTATGCAGTAGGTACTAGCCAAATATGACAAATGAAAAGTGGTTGATGTGACCAAGAAACTGAAATTTCAATTTAATCTAATTTTAATTTAAGTTACATAATGAAAGATTACATAAGTGGTAAAGTTGAGACACAAATGATTAAAATAGTAAATAATAGCAAATGTGTATTAAATACAGCATGAACTTGATTTAGCTTCAAATTCTATATATATTGTGAACCATTTAAAACGTTTCCAGATAATCATATCACTTGTTAGAAAAGGTAATTTAAACTACACAACCCAGATAACTTCACTTCAGGATCAGTTGTTTCATGAATTTTCTAGAGAGTTAATATTCCCTCTTTTTTTTTTCTCTCTGTCACCCAGGCTGGAGTGCAGTGGCATAAACTCGGCTCACTGAACTTTAGTCTCCCAGGTTCAAGCTATCCTCCCATATCAGCCTCTGAGTAGCTGGGACTATAGGCACTCCACTACGCCTGGCTAAATCTTTGTAGACACAGGGTCTCGCTATGTTGCCTGGGCTGGTCTTGAACTCCTTGACTCAAGCAATCCTCCCATCTTGGTCTACCAAAGTACTGGGATTACAGACATCAGCCACTGTGCCAAGCCTAAAATTATCTTTAGAAGAGGACAAGCTCAAACTACTGGCTAATCTCTTTAGATAGCTTATATGGCTTACAGCATGGCAGAGCTCAGTTTTGGTATTAGAGTAATAGTAATTAGTGATCAATGTTAGGTCACATTCTTACTTAAAGGAAAAAGAAAATGAACAAAGAAAGAAAAATAGTATCAAAATTTTTTGTACTTAAACTTTGAACCACAGGTTTATAATCACTTAACAAAGGATAGCATAAGAAAGAAAACGCATATTCCCAGCTAAAATAAGTCAGTCTGAATCAAGGTATCCAAGACATTTCTTCCACATAGAATGAGCAAATTTGGGACAAATGTCAAATCAGTCAGATTTGGTTACATATTATTCTCTATCTTCTTATTAACATGGATATTTCTCTGAAACAAACTTTTTATCATTAGTGTAAACTTTATAAATGGATAACAAACATGCAAAAAGTGTACAAATTATAAATGTAAAGCTTAAAAAAATTTGGCAAAATACACACATCCACATGACCAGCATTTGCATCAAGAAACAAAACAAGCTAGGCATGGTGACTCATGGCTGTAATAACAACACTTGGGAGGCCAAGGCTGGAGGATCATCTGAGCCCAGGAGCTTGAGACCAGCCTGAGCAACACAGTGAAATGCTATCTCTTGAAAAAACAAAATTATTATCCATATTCCAGAATGTACTTCATGCACTTGGAGTCACAATCTGAGGCCTTCTTAAGGAAAACCACTTTCCTAATCTAACATTGTTGATTAGTTATGCCTATTTTTTAAACTTTACATTGATTGAATCATAAAATATGTTCTGTTTTCTGACTTCTTTCATTCAGTTTTGCATTGTAAGATTCTAAGCCCTTATATTTAAAATAAATACTGTATAACAACACAATCACGTTTGGAAAAGAAAAGATAGTTACCATAAAATCACAGAGATTGCTTGGCATATTAAGCTACTTTACACAGTTCTTACTGATTAACTTCCAATTTCAGTAAGCAAGTAATTTCACTTTGCAATATGCCTAATTTATTAAATTATGATAACTACAAAATAGTCATATTCCATCTTAAAAGATTAAAGCGTTTTGTTAAATGTGCCTTTCTGGAAACAAACAATCACTTAATGCAAAAGTTTGGGTGTGGAACTAGACAATTTAACTCAGAAATAACTATTTTCTTTTATGATTTTTCATATAAATACCCTAATATTTGCAGAAAATAGTCAAGAATGAGATAAAAGTTTTTTAAAAATCATGTTTAGTGGAATTTAAAAAATAAAACCCTATTGGCATATGTATGTTATACAGTAAGGACTTTAATTTTTATTTCTTTGAATGAATATGATAGTCTTTGGGATCTTAGAGATCTTATTTCAGGAGAGATTCATCAAAGACGATTGCCAGGATCATTAGCATATTTTCCAAATGTCCCCTCTTCCTCAAATATTTTCAGTTGAATACTAGTAATTTAAATAGTGAATGATGAAAATTCCAATGGGTGCCATACTTAAGAGCAATTGAATGGATTTTTAATTTTTAGTCTACCCAATTTATAACAAATGCATATTTTAAAACCCAAAACCTATCCTGTAAGATGTGGCTCTGACTGATGTTGAGCATATGCAATACCATCATACATAGATAACAACCAAATGTTCTTTCTATAAACTCAATAACAAGATACGATATATTTAAAAACACACTGAGTCACACCAATAATAAAGTTCAGAGCAAAATTCTAAATCTGGGTCAAGATGTGAAAAGTAAGTGAGAGTTTCAGCAGAGTATATTCTCTCTATTCGGTTTTGAATAATTTTAAACTTACTTTTTTGGTTGGTGGTTTTTTACATTATGTTTTGGAGTGAGGTGGACTCCAACGTCAGGTGTGACTGAAAAATGAATAACTCAAGGCCTGGCGTGGGGCTTACACCTGTAATCCCAGCACTTTGGGAGGCTGAGGCAGGCAGATCACAAGGTCAGGAGATCGAGACCATCCTGGCTAACACGGTGAAATCCCCTCTCTACTAAAAAAAAAAAAAAAAAAATTAGCCGGGCATGGTGGCAGGCACCTGTAGTCCCAGCTATTCGGGAGGCTGATTCAGGAGAATGGCGTGCACCTGGGAGGCTGAGCTTGCAGTGAGACGAGATCACACCACTGCACTCCAGCCTGGGCGACTGAGTGAGACTCCATCTCAAAAAAAAAAAAAAAAAAAAAGGAAAGAAAAACTAATAACTCAAAATTTCAGATTTCTTTATTCATAAAATAAAAATAAGGATGCCCAAAAATAGCATTTGAACATTTTATATATATTCATATATATGTGTATTTTTTATACAAAAATACAAATATGGCCAAGTCCGGTGTAACTATTATAGTTACCTAAGTTCTCATAATAGTGATTCAAAAGGTTTAACATTTTTCCATATTATGTTTAGCCATGAATATGTACATTTATGCATTCAATCAATTTAGACCCTTATTACTTCAGACACATTATCACACAATTATAACTCCCTTAACAAAATAATGCATTAACCATTTTTCTCTTATAGAACTCCAGATGCAAGCACTTTGCTCTAATAACTCTATTTTTCTTAATTTTCTTTTGCAGTTCTCCTTTATTGCTTCCAGTTCTTTTCTTTCTTTCTTTTTTTTTTTTTTTTTGAGACGGAGTTTCACTCCTCTTGCCCAAGCTGGAGTGCAGTGGCTCAATCTCGGCTCACCGCAACCTCCGCCTCCCGGGTTCAAGCAATTCTCCTGCCATAGCCTCCCGAGTAGCTGGGTTTACAGGCACTTTGGGAGGCTGAGGTAGGAGGATCACCTGAGGTCACGAGGTCAAGACCAGCCTGACC